GGAAGCCTGCTTCTCCCTCTCCCACTCCCCCTGCTTGTGTTCCTGCTCTCGCTGTCTCTCTCTTTCAAATAAATAAATAAAATTTTTTTTTAAGATTTTATTTATTTATTTGAAAGAGAGAGACACAGCGAGATGAGAGAGAGAAGATGAAATTATATATGTAAAAAGGCCAGCATAGTGCTTGGCACCTACCAAGTGCACCTTTCATGGTCATAAGGTACTGCCCAGTGTTTATTGTGGGAGGAGAGTGGCAGAGAAAAGCCCGCAGGTTGAGTGGCACTTATTGTGTCTTTCCTCTGGATTCCTCGCCTGTCCAGGGCTCCCTGGGCATGTGTCTCTTGCCTCATCCTCCCCACTGTGGCCACTCTTTCAGACTCCTGTCTCATGCTCGCTTTGGCAGCACATATACTAAAATCAGATTCTTGTCTTCTCTCAGCTCAGCCTCATGCTGGTCCCAGCAGGTAAATCTGGTTAGGTCAACTGAAGACATCAAGTCCTGAGGCCCAGAAGAAGACATTTTAAACTTTACTCAAATTCTGGTGATCTGCACAATACTTTTTCACAGTAGCTTGGGAGAAAGAATGATACAGATCTGTGTGTTTTAGGATGGAATAGTCGCCAAGGTTTATTAGAAGCAGCCAAGTTCTGGAGTGGTATGTGCCATACGCTTTGTTGTCCAGCTTGTTTGGGAGGGTGCTGAGGAGGAGGGAGGTACAGGGGCCGCGTGAGCCGGAAGTGACTGGGGTCTCCTTTGCACAGCAGTCCCTCTGTGAGAGCGAGCGTGCAAGAGTCCAGGCTACACGGAAGCATGCCCTGGTGTGGGCCCTAAGGCAGAGCCCTCCCGCAGACTGGCACCTCCCTCTGCCACAGGACGAGAAAGACCAGTGATGAGCACTCCTGAACGGCTTCCTCTGATCTGTTTCAAATGGGGCTGTCGCAAGACCCTGAGGATGGTGATGGGCCCAAACAGTCTAGTGGGTCCCTGAAGCTTCCACTCGGCTTAGAACACAGAGCCTGAGGTCTCCAGCCCTAATTGCCCACTCCTGCTGCTGCCTTACTCTGACACAATTTCACCCACTGCACAGCTTCCAGGATGCCAAACACCATTGCAGATCCCGGTGAGCAGCCAGGTCAGGCTGGTTCATGCTCCCCGCTGGGGACAACAGCACTCTCAGGTAAACTCTTGAGTGATAGCCCTGATCCAAGTGGATACATAGGGCGGTCAGAACGAGGTAACTAAATGGTTGTGCTGTGGTGAACACTTGTCCTGGTCCTGGTTTGGTGACACTGTGCATTGCCAGCCCCTGGTGCTTACACGGAGCTATTAGCCCACTCACTAAGTTCCTCTGTGGACACAGACAGGGTGTTGCTCCTCGTAGGATATAGGCCCTCTTGAAGACTCTGGCTTTTAAGAAACGCACACAGCTACAGAATACACAACCTCACGTTAAAAGGGTTCATAGACCCTTGGCTTAAGAAACCCAAGCCCAAGACACGTGGAATTTTAGTCTCTTTCCTTTAAAATTTCCCTTGGTCAGTTTTAGAAAATGTAGATTATATCAAATGCCATTTCGCACGTTTGATTTCAAATAGAAGCTGAAAATTAAATCCACGATTTAATAGTTGAGATTGTTAGATTTAGCACCTGACATTATTGTGCTCGGACAGTATTGGAATTTTGTATACTTATACTCTTGTAGATGTTTTTAAAATATATGTTTATGAACCAACAAGAACTCTAGTTCTCGAAGAGGTCTTTTTTTATCACTAATAAAATGATTTAGCATCTCATGGCTGCAGAGCAGGCCCCGTGGTGTGGGGCCAAGGGCGAGGCTGGCTGTGTGCCCCGAAGCCTCACTGCTCCTTCCTGGACCAACTGCCATTTTTTTTTTTTTTTTAGATTTTATTTATTTATTTGACAGAGACAGCGAGAGCAGGAACACAAGCGGGGGGAGTGGGAGAGGGAGAAGCAGGCTTCCCGCGGAGCAGGGAGCCCGATGCAGGGCTCGATCCCAGAACCCTGGGACCATGACCTGAGCCTAAGGCAGTCGCTTAACCAACTGAGCCACCCAGGCGCCCTCCAACTGCCATTTTAGTACCTCCCTCACAACTGGGCCCCAACCTGGCCACAGGCAGTGGGTCAGACATCTTTTAACTCATTCTTTGGGGCAAAATAATCCCATCACTTCAGAAGGGCGTACATTAAAGAATAGACATTGCCCTCTCCTGTGTGCATTTTCTCCTGTGTTACCCCAAGAGTCCCTGTGACTGTGTGTACCTGTAAGTGCTGGGGGATCTGCACATAGGACCCCAATAACCTCTCCCTGTGTATGTACCTGTGAGTGGTAGGGGTGTGTGCACACAGGTCCCCAATGATCCTTCCCTGTGACTGTGTGTACCTGTCAATGGGGGAGAGGGGGTGGATGCACACAGGTCCCCAGTGGTCCTTCCCTGTGACTGTGTGTACCTGTCAATGGGGGGAGATGGGATTGTGCACACAGGTCCCCAGTGATCCTTCCCTGTGACTCTGTCCCTAGGAGTGGTGAGGGGTGTGCACATAAGTCCCCAGTAGCCTCTCCCTGTGTGTGTGTGTGTGTGTACCTGTTGAGTGGTGGGAGCGTTTGCACACAGGTCCCCAAAGGTCCTTCCCTGTGACTGCGTGTACCTGTGAGTAGTGGGAGGTGTGCACATAGGAGCCCAGGAGCAGAGGTGAGTATAAAGAAGAACCTATCCCAGGGTGGATGCCTTGATATCTAAGTCAGCCAGGGTATCTGCCTTGTGTCTGTGGCTACTTTCTGGAGCATTTCCGGCCAAGGAGAGAGGGAAGGCTGCTGGGAATCTACAGGCATTCTCTTCACTCTGAAACACAGGAAGGGACATTTGAATTTTGCAATCTGCATATGATCCCTTGGGGTTCCCGGGCTGGGGCTGTGGTAGCAGCCAGCACAGCAGTCCTGAGGGGCTCACCTCAAGGGATTCACATTCTCTGTGTGCTTGTTTAAGGCTTGAGGCTGCCCGCCGCTGAATGCTGTGTTAGGAAGTCTTATTCCTTCTCTGCTGCTCAATGAGTTCCACACTGACAGATAATCATTGCTGCACAGAATGTTCCTACATCTGCTCCTGTGTTCACCCGTCACAACATCTGAGCACCGCTACATGGCCAGGTGGGGGTTGAGGCTCTGGGATTGCAGTCTTGAAATGGGCAAGCTGCCTTCAAAGAGTTCCAGTTGAGTTTAGGGGACAGACATAAACATTGAAACCTCATTAAGTAAGTCTAAAATAATGGTAAGTGCTGTGAAGAAAATGGGCAGTGAGAAGATAGAGCAGCAGCTCTCACATTTTTTGCACAAAACCCGTAACAAGTTTTATGATCTGGTATATACTTTATATACTGCATATATGGTTGAAACAAGCCTCACAAAACAGTCCTTATCTGTACGATGTGTGATACACTGACATTTGCGGTTCTGTGCGACTGAAAATAAACCGCTGTATATGCAGCAACTTGGGTGAAACTCAAATTATGCCGAGTTAAAAAATCTTAAATGGGTGCATATGACATAGTTCCATTTATGTAACATTGGTGAGATGATGTAATAATAGAGATGGAGAATGGCTAATGGTGCCAAGGGTAGGGATGGAAGGAGGGTGTGGATGTGGCTAGGGTACATAAGGGTATCCTGTGGTACTGGAACCTTGACCTCTACAGAGCTGCATGTGTGATGAAATTGTGTACTGTTAGATGTACACACAGATGAGTGCAGACATAGTGGGAAACCCAAATGCATTCTGGGCTGTGCCTGTGTCAGTCTCTAGTCTCTTTCACACTGACTGTACATGGTGTGTAAGATGTTAATACTTGGGGAGGCTGGGAGAACCACACACAGACCCTCCTTGCATCTTTATTTCCAACCTCCTGTAAATCTGTAACTACTTCAAAATAAAAAGTTAAAACTGCTGGCCCTGACCCCGTGAATTGATTATACAACCTAATGGATGACACGTACTATTTGAAAAGCACTACTACAAAGCACTTGCAGGGATGCCTGGGTGGCTCAGTCGGTTAAGCGTCTGCCTTCGGCTTGGGTCATGATCCGAGGGACCTGGGATCAAGCCCCACATCAGGCTCCGTGCTCGGCGGGGAGCCTGCTTCTCCTTCTGCCTGCTGCTCCCCCTGCTTGTGCTCTGACAAATAAAATTAAAAAACAAAAAGCACCGGCAGTGGGGGCAGGGAGGTGGGGTAGGCCTCAGCATCTGAGCCCAGACCTGGATGAAGAAGCCTGAGCCTTGTAGGGGAAGGAGCACACAGTCCACAAGGAACAATTAAGTGCCGTGTGCTGACTGGGGGGGAGGGAGGTTGGGCAGAAGGTGGAGGGGGGTCTGTAAGGTGTGATCAGGGGTGGTGAACAGCCAAATGCCTGCCCTGGCTTGTGCTTCATGGAACCCTCTGGTTGCTGTGCAGAGGAGCTACAGGGGTTGGGGGGAGTGTCCACCTGGAGAGATCAGTTGGCTGCTGCAGTGGAACAGGCAAAATGTGGCAATGGTGTGGACCTCAAGATAGCAGTGAGGTGGTGAAAAGTGGCCAGATTCAGTATTTGTCTCAGAGGTAGAGTTAAAGAACTTAGAATCCTTAGGCAGCATTTTTATCCAGTAAAAAAGTTTATCTAGTAAGTTTTTAAACCAAAAGTGAACCACACACCAGGAAAACAATCTGAATTCTTCCTCAAATGAAATGTTTCCCTGGTTTATCTGCACTAAGGCAGCGAAAAACCCAAACCCTTTCTGAGGTAGCAATGCAAGTCACTAGGAGAAATGGCTGTATTTGCTCACTGGACCTTCACTGTTATGGGCTGAATTGTGTTGTTCCCCACTCCCTCTAAATTCCTGTGTTGAAGCTCTAACCCCTAATACCTCTGAATGTGACTATAGAGATAGGGTGCTTAAAGAGGTAATTAATTTAAAATGAGGTCATTATACTGGGCCCTAATCCACTGACTAGTAGTATCCTTATTACGAGACAGGTACAGAGGGATGACCCTAGGAGGACCCAGGGAGAAGGTGGCTCTCTGCAAGCAAAGGAGAGCAGCTTTGCGGAAAAACCAATCCTGCCAACACCTTGATCTTGGAGTTCTGGCCTCAAGAACTATGAGAAACAAATTGCTGTTGTTTAAGCCCTCAGTCTGTGGTACTTTGTTCTCGCAGCCCCAGCACACTAATATATTTACTATTCCAGACTGACACTTGAATAAGAGTCAGGTGCTATGCCCTCCTAGGGAACACAGCAACTTTAAGTAGTGTGTCCCAGGCTTGCTCCACTCTCTTCAGTCTCCCTCCCCAGCTTAAAACCCAAAGCTGGCCCTGCCAAAGATGTGAGGAAGCTCCCGTGCTCCATTTGCCCAATGGAAGGCCCTGCCTCTCCTGTCTGCACAGGTATGCAGACAATACACAGCACATAGGCCACACATCCTTCACCTCTGCTCCTTGAGGTACTTAGCTGCCTCTTGCTGGTGGTGTCTACTCTACACAACTGGAATCTTCCTTTTTACTGGGGAGCAGCGGTAGATGTCTTGGTCATTCTCTCCCCAGTACAAGGGCAGCATCTCTCACCCCCATCAATCCTCAGGTGAATTAATTCTGACTCAAACTTAAGACAGAGACACTTGATTAAACATTATTTATTCACAGCATGCCTGACTCTGTGACAAGCAAGCTTGAGCCCTGGTCATTCTGGTTCTAAAGGGCAGTGTGTTCTGCAGACAGGTGCCTGCCGCTCTACCTCTTAAACTCCACCTGTGTGTACACCTTGGTGATATCATGGTATCTGCCTTCAGGGGGCTGGTAGTTGGAGATCGGTGGCGTGTAATCTGGCCCTTCTCTTTCAAAGGGGAACAGATTGGGGTCCCGCTTGGTGGCCTCCACATGTAGCTCTGGGGACATGAGTTGCAGCTCCTGCAGAGCTTCCTGCTGGGACTCAACCATGGACCTGATGGCATCCCTCTCCTTCTCATGCTCTTGATGCTTGTACAGAGACCACTTCTTCAGGAGCAGAGCTCTCCGCTCACTCTCCTCAAAGGGAAGCTCCACGTGAGGCCGCTGTCTAGGAACACACAAATCCAAAGGTGTGAAGCTGGGAAGCACCGACCTCACTGGCCAGGTAGTCTGGGTGACTGCATACGACCCAAGCGTCCCCACTGCCAGACATAGATGGGACTTAGGGAAAAACGTGGAAGTTAGGGATAAATTAAAGCATGGAATGTTGATGTGGTAGCAGCTGCAACTGATGTTGGAAGCCAGTGCCATTTGCTTTCCATGGACATAAGAAACAGTGATGCTCTAAGAAGACTGGTAGCACTTCCTCTACCCCATGCCTAGACTACCTTTGGTGAGAGGTGACTGTGGAAATGTAAAGTGGTGTTATGAAAATGGAAGCCCAAGTCCCAGGGAGTTAAGAGCCCAGATCAGCCCTAGAATACCAAAAAACCACCCACCATGTCCCACCTGTATGGCAAGATGCTACTTTATAAATGGTACACACTTTTTTACAAGGCAGCAACCCTGCCAGGCCTGTACACAACACATCCCAACTATGAGCATTTGTACCATAAAGCTAGAGGCTAAGGGTTTTCTACCATCAAGATGGGACAAGGGCTGCAGACCCAAGGCCCAAGTCATCAGTCACAGCTAAAACTCATCTTACAAAAAAGCAACAATACGAACTAGCTTATCAAATAGTTAT